CCAGGTTGGACCAACAGGCTCAGGTACCCCTGCAAAGGGAGACCCCCCTTCAGGAGTGGGAGGAGGAAGAAATAGAGGGCGAGGGGGACTTGGAACAGTTCATGGATCCTGACGAGTTTGATTTGGGGTCTATCTACTAGAGCGAGGCAGACCCTCTAGAAGGTGAAATGTTTGAGGACGAGGGGCTCACCTCTGACCAGCCTGCCTTTGCGGGCTTACTCAAGCCCCACCTGTTCAAATTCTTGTTATTCAAGTCCAAGTACATTTCAGGTCTAACTAAGCAACCATCAACAGAGCTCCCCACTCCTTCAACAGAGGAGCCAGAGGATCTCATTTTAACCAGCCCATTGTGGAGGCCGAGACTATCTTAGCTCCACCATCCTTACCGACCTAGTGTGAAAGCAACTAGCATCTACACTGGTGCCCCCAGCCCCCTCTAGTCAAGACAAAAAATATTTTAATTTGGATCCGGAATTCTCAAAATTGTTAAACACCCTTGAGGTAGACGAGCCCATAGTGGGCCTGGCATCCTCCTCAACTCTGACTGATGCGCTGGAAGTCCTGAAGCCAGGAGAAAAGTGGGACTAGTTGGCTCTATGCAGGGCTCATCAGTTGGATGCTTGGGCCATCAGATCGGCTATGGCCGCATCTTTTTTTACAAATTCATCCATTCAATGGCTTCGTCAACTCAAACAACACATCCCTACATCCAACATCAGGGCACACCAGGACATTGCCAAGCTCACTGCAGCAGCCGAGTTTTCGGCTGATGCCACTTACTATGCCGTTACATTTTCTGCAAGGGCAATTTCCTCCAACGTCTCAGCCCGCCATCTACTATGGGTGAGGCATTGGCAAGCAGACTTTAAGAACAAGTCCAAGCTGGCTTCCTCCCCTATAGTAGGAAACAAACCATTTGGCCCTTCCCTGGCCCCACTACTGATGGAGACCTGTAGTAAAAAAAAAAATTCCTTCCTTCCCTCACACAAAGGTTAGACTTCAGAACCTCTCAGCCCTTTTGGAGGAGTTCCTTTCAGCCCTTCTATCAGGCACCCTTCTCCCCCAGGTATCAGAGGCCCCCATCGTTCAGGTCAGGTCAACCCCAGGATAGAGCCAACTCGGGAGACAGGAGCCGGAAGGACAGTCAATATAAGAGGCCTTTTCGGGGAGCTGGTAGTAGGCCCTTCTGATGTCCAAGATAGATCAAAGGACACTCTCCCCATTGGCAGACATCTCAAATCGTTCGCTAGTCAATGGGATTCCTCTACCTCTGACTCTTGGGTCAGGGACAGCATTAGATTTGGCCTTGCCCTCGAGTTCCAATCCACTCCCCCAAATTTCTTTATGTCATCTCCCCTTTCCAGAGACCTGGTCAAGCATAGTCTAATGGACTCCGCAATCCAGCATCTCCTAAACATAAGAACCATTCAACCAGTGCCGTCCGAGCAACGAGGTCGGGGTTTTTGCTCCCACCTCTTTGTTGTACCAAAACACTCGGGGTGGTGGTGGAGAGAGATCTTAGATTTGAAACGACTTAACCACTTCCTAACATACCAGAAATTCAAGATGCACACCTTGCAGTCGATACTCTGGGCATCAGGCACGGGGACGTGCTCATGTCCATAGACTTGACGGAAGCGTACTTACACATTGCAATTCAGCCTTCCCATTACAAATTCTTAAGGTTCTGCTATAACAATCACCACTTCGAATATGTGGCCCTTCCTTTTGCACTGGCCTCTGCCCCCAGAACCTTTACCAAGGTCCTGGCAACGCTGGCTGCTCACTTCAGGAATATTCCCATTCGTCTCCAATGCTACCTGGACAACATTCTAATCTTGTCCCCCTCTACCCACCAAGCAGTGAGGGACACACAGGTCACCTTGACATCTCTCCAGGAACATGGGTTTCTCATAAATTGGAAAAAGAGCCAATTATCCCCATCTACCCGAATAACTCACTTAGGGGCAGTCATTGACACAGTGGAGGGCAAAGTCTACCTGTCTTCAGATAGACTACTTAGTATGCAAAAACTGGTTAGGTAAATCAGGCACCTTAGGAAGGTTCCCCTCCTGGAGTTATCCAAACGATTGGGTAAAATGATATCTTGCATTTCTATTGTTCCCTGGGCCCGTCTCCACACCAGGTCCCTCCAGTGGTTCCTGCTCCCGTACCAGAGATCTGGCAGAAGCAATTCCAAACTCACAGTCAGGGTACCTCCCAAGGTCCTCACGTCCCTTCTCTGGTGGGCCAAACCGGTCATCAACAAAGGCTGCTTCTTCAAAGAGCCTCACAGATTGACTATCACCACAGATGCCAGTCTATATGGATGGGGCGCCCATGCCCAGTCACTCACATCCCAGGGCAGATGGTCGGCTATAGAACAGGCGTGCAGCATCAACTGGCTGGAGCTTCACGCTGTGCACCTGGCCCTGCACAGCTTCCTCCCCCAGGTACGTGAGCAGCACATCCTCATTTTAATAGACAACGTGACAGCCAAAGCCCACATCAACAAACAGGGGGGCACACAATCAATACAATTAATGAGGGAAGCCGAGCGCCTGTGTCGCTGGGTGGAGAACAACCTTCTGTCCATCAAGGCAGAGCACATATCGGGCCTATCAAATACTCAAGCAGACTGGTTAAGCAGGGCCACAATAGATCAGTCAGAGTGGCGCCTCCACCCTTCCCTGTTCAAAGAAGCAGCAAGGATATTCGGACAACCAGTGGTAAACCTATTTGCCTCCCCTCTCAATGCCCAGCTCCCGAGATTCTTCTCAAGGTACCCATCCCAAGGGTGGAGAATCACAACGCGCTCCACTGCCCATGGCCCACAGGGCTCCTATACTCATTCCCCCCTCTAGCCCTTGTAGCTGTTAGGAAGGTTATTCAGAAGCTGCTCCATGAGAAAGTGGAAGTGCTCCTAGTTGCTCCTCACTGGCCCAGATGGCCGTGGTTTGTGGACCTCTGCATTCTCTCAGTGGCCCCTCCTTAGAGGATTCCACCAGACAGGATCTCTCTATCACAGGGGCCCCTCTGACACCCGGAACCTCAATGGTTTCAACTAACCGTCTGGAGGTTGAGTGGAGCAGTTTGAGGAGCGAAATGCTCTCCAACAAGGTCATTGACACCATCCTAGCTGCCATACGGCCCTCAACCATCCAAATTTACAACGCCACATGGGCCATTTTCTGTAGATGGTGCAGCAAATTTCAAATTAACCCAGCTTCCCCCTCTGTCGCCCAAATTTTAGAATTCCTTCAGGAGGGACTTGACAAGGGACTGTCTCCTAATACACTGAAATGACAGGTAGCTGCACTGTCATCAGTTGCGAGGGTTTCCTGCGAGGGTTTTAGTTCCCTCTCACATCACACACGCATAAGGGCTTTTCTTAGAGGGGCCACTAACTTACGCCCCCCAGCAGTACACCATTACCCCACTTGGGACCTTAACAAAGTCCTTCTCTCTCACACCAAAGAACCTTTTGAACCTTTAAGGGAGGCAAGCCTCCAATTTTTGAAATATTAGGTAGTTTTCCTTGTAGCCATCACATCCGCTAGGTGCATATCAGAAATAGCAGCCCTGTCTGTCAGACAGGACCTCTGTGTCTTTCATGCTGATCAGGTGATCCTCCGTCCCGATCCCACGTTCTTGCCCAAGGTAAATTCAGCCTTCCATAGAGCCCAAGAGCTCATCCTTCCCAACTTTTGTCCCAGGCCATCACATGAAAGGAAAGGCAATGGCACAAACTTGATGTAAGGCATGCTCTGCGAATCTACATCAAGCGCACAGAACCATTCAGAAAACCGGAGGCCTTATTTCTCTCCTTTCAACCCAAAACACAGGGGCATAGGGTGTCATCGTCTACTGTAGGCCATTGGATCAGGGCAGCCATAAATCTTATGAGTCCCAGGCCCTGCAGGTGCCCAGAGGCATAACTGTGCATTCAACTAGGAGTGTGGCAACATCGGCAGCTTGGGCCACCCAGGCACCAGTAATCGAATTTTGCTGGGCGGAAACTTGGGCCTTCCCATCTCCTTTCATCAGGGATTATAAAATCGATGTGTTTGCATCTGCAGAGGCTTCATTTGGTAGATGGTTTCTGCAACGGGTCCTTAGGGACCCTGAGGAGATTCCAGACCAGGAGGAGTCCCTCCCGTAGGACAGGCCAAGCTTTGGTATGCCCCAATCCTGGATGCTGGGAGCAGCTCATAGGAGAAAGGGCATTGGACTTACCTGATATGCCCGTTCTCTTTGAGCTGCGAAGAGCATCCAGCCCCACCCTTTTTTTCCATCTGGTGGGACCTAGTTTCGGCCAAGGAACCCTTTTTTAGGTAGTAGGGATGAGAGCACCTTTTTTTCCTCTCGTCTTCACAAAACTGGGGAACGCTACGGAGGAGTCACGTGGAGGAGGCGGAGCGTTCCTCAATTCAAGCTCAGCCTACAAATGGAGAGACCGAATCACCTCCCAATCCTGGATGCTCTTCGCAGCTCAAAGAGAACGGGCGTATCAGGTAAGCCCAATGCCCTTTTTCTTGACTGGTGGTGAGATTCCTCTTCCCAACAAAATCATGAAATCCTACCAAGTCCCCTAAGTGAACCATGATGAACCATGATAGCACCATGAATTAAGTGCAAAGGATAGTTCCTTTGAAAGTGAAATCCATCTGGGCTTTCTCATCTTTTGATTTAACTTGATAAGAGAACAACAATCTCATACCTAGCATAAATTCACATTGTACAATCACAGCAGATTCCACGCTTGCCATGAAAATGTCATAAACATTATTTCCTTCCTCCAACCTTTCAGCAAACTGATTACAAAAAGCACAAACATTAGTATTAGTAGTTAAAATATAACATGCTTTTACTTAGGCCTGGGAGTACCTCAAGATTGCAAGAAGTTCCACAAGACATTTTCATAAATTTTATTTTTAAATTTAAACATATTGCTTATCACATGCAGTTGTTAGAAATGTTCAGTAAAAAATTTGGAGATATTATTTCCTTCTCACTAGCTGTTCTCTTTTATTTAGTTCAGGCCTTAATATAATAATGTAACATTTGGGTAAAAAAATGCAAGCCAATAAACCTGCACTGGAGCCAAAGATGGAGAAGATTTCCACAGCTACCATGTGTTTGCCCTTGGTGCTCAGATAGGCTGGGAAAAAAGACAACCACACACTGCAGAAGATCAGCATACTGAAGGTGATAAACTTGGCTTCATTAAAGGTGTCAGGCAAGTTCCTAGCTAGATAGGCGACCATGAAACTGACTAGGGCAAGAATGTTCATGAAGCCCAGGACACAGTAAAACATATAGGTAGACCCTTCATTACATTCCAGTATAATTTCTTCATGCAGGGAATACATGTCAAAATGTGGAAATGGGGCAGAGGTTGCCAGCCAAATTGCACAAAGAGATGCTTGAAGAAAGGAGCAGGAAAACACAATAGAAGTAGCCAATCTGTTCCCTACCCATTTCCTTATTCCAGATCCTGGCTTGGTGGCCATGAAAGCAAGAACAACAATGATAGTTTTGGCCAGCACACAAGAAATTGCTACTGAAAATATGAAAGTAAAAGCAACTTGTTGAAGGAGACATGTCAGTATGGTAGGCCGACCAATGAAAAGGAAAGCAGAAAGGAAGGAGAAGAGAAGAGAAGTGAGAAGAAGGTAGGAGAGGCTCTGGTTGTTGGCTTTGACAATCGGTGTGTCATTGTGCTTAATGAAGATAACTAACACAAATACCGTCAAGAAAGCGAAGGAGAATGCAAACACCAAAGATGTAATTCCTAAAGGTTCTTGGTAATGCAAGAAAGTGATCTCTTTGAAAATGCATGCATTTTGATGGAAATTTGCATATTGATCTCCTGGACATGGGACACAGTCGTCTGCATCTGAAAAAGAACATAGTACATTATTTATGTAGTATATGTCATGCCTCTAGCATATTATTTGAGTGTTTTTATACCTCTTGTTCTTTAACATGTCTTGAGCTCCATCTAGTTCCCAAAAACAAATCTGTAATTGTTTGGAAATTGGTTTGATGGTGTTTGACTCTACCAGATTAACAGAGTTGGAAGGATGACCAAGGAGACCCTACACCATTTCTGACAAATGGCAGTCCAATCTCTTCTTGAAAGCCACCAGTAATGAAGCTCCCACAACTTTTGAAGGCAATTATTCCATTGGTTGATTGTTCTCACTGTCAGAAAATTTCTCCTTATTTCTAAATTGAATCTCTTCTTGATCAGCTTCCATCAATTATTCCTTGTCTGGCCTTTGGGTGCCTTGGAAAATAGCTTTACCCCTTCCTCTCTGTGACAGCCCCTCAAATATTGGAACACTGTTATCAGGTCTCCCCTGGTCCTTCTCTTCACCAGAGTAGCCATGCACTGTTCTTGTAACCATTTTTCATATGTTTTAGTCTCCAATCTCCTAATCATCCTGGTTGCTCTTCTCTGCACTTTTTCTAGACTCTCAACATCTGTTTTATAGTGTGGTGATCAAAACTGGATTCAGTATTCCAAGTGTGGTCTTACTAAGACTTTATAAAGGGGAATTAATACCTCACTTGATCCTTTTTAAATGTCATTTGGGGTTGTATTGGCTTTTTTGGCTGCTGACCCACACTGCTGGCGCATGTTTTAACTGGTTGTCCACTAAGACTCCAAGATCCATCTTGCAGTTACTGCTATTAAGCCTGGTTTCACTCAGTCTATATGTGTACCTTTGGTTTTTCTTGCCTAAATATAAGACTTTTCTCTACATTGAATTTCATTTTGTTAGATAGGGCCCAGTGTCCAAATCTTTCAGGATCCATCTGGACCCTGAGTCTATCATGTAGCACAGGTTTGTTAAACTCATCTCACAGTGGCACCACATGACATATCAGGACTTATTTCCCTTCGCTAAACCAGGCATGGGCATGGCCAGTGCATGATGCTTCCACCCCATGGGTGAGGACTTTGACAGCCCTGATCTAGGGTATTAGCTATTCCTGCCAGCTTAGTATCATCCACAAATTTGGTAAGTTCCCCTTCTATTCCCTCATCTAGGTCATTTATGATGATACTGAACTGGGCCTAAGATGGAATCTTGTGGTACTCCACTGCTTACTTCCCTCCATGTAGCTGTAGACCCATTAAGTTCAATTTGTCAGCCAGTTACGAATCCATCTGGAGGTGATGCCTTCTATCCCACTTTTTTCTAGCTTACCAAGAAGTAGGTTGTGGTCTCCTTTGTTGAAGTCTAAGTATATTACATCCATAGTATTTTGCTGGTTTACTAATTTAGTCACTATGTCGAAGAATGAAACAAGATTTGTTTGATCTGTTTTTAACAAAATCATGTTGACTGCTAATTATTACTTTACTTGTTTCTAGATGTTGGCAAATCTGGGTTGTTGTGTTGTTGTTTTTTTTATATCTTTTCCAGTATCTTCCTGGGTATTGATGTTAGGCTGATTAGTCTGTGTGTTCCTGGATGTTTTTTCCCCCTTTTTTTGAAGTACATCAGCTCGTTTCCAGTCCTCTGCTACTTCCCTGATGCTTCAGTATTTTTAAAAGATGCGGTACAGTGTCTGCCAGTTCCTTTAAAATTCTGGGATGTAATCCATCAGGTCCTGGTAATTTGTATTTGCTGAGGTAATTCCCCATTAGAAGAATGAGCGCATACAGGGAGACGTATAGAGAGTAGTGTTTGAATAATACACACACAGCACACAGATACACTGTACAGTAAATGTAGGGTTTTACTTTCAATAAAGGTTTAAGAAAAGTCCAAAATACAGTCCAAAGTCATTCACAGGTAAGATCAGTCAGTTTTTCAAACCAGGGATAATCCAAATATCAAAGTCCAGTGTCAAAAAGGAGTTCAGTATCAGACTTACATTAAATCCAGAATACCAGTCAATTATGAGGAATGGCAATATTCTCCAACAGAAGGAAACAGAGACCTTACTCACATTCTCTTCTGAGACCAAGACAAAACAACCCAGGTTTCTGGCTCCCTCTTATGGCCGTTTGAGAAACCACACCCAGTTACAGTTTTGCATTTTCTTAAAGATACAGTTTTAAAATGTTTATCCTGGTTTATATATTTCCAACCCAAATACCTGTATTCATCAATATCAGACAAGTGTTCTCTTACTATCTTTTATATTGAGGACAAAATGGTGTATTTGAATAGATAAAAAAGATTGCATACATCTTCTGCCTCCCCAACTCTGATTGCTGGTAATTAGAACTTCAGCTCCATAATATTCTGAGGTGTGAAAATCTTAACTTTCAAAGGAAATTGGAGACAAGGAATCTTGAATAATAGAGCCAGAAATCAACCAATCTTATTCAATCAACAAATACAATTAATGTATATCTTACCCTCTTGTGCTGAAATCTTTCCTTCCGCACATGGAAGGCAGTCATAGCAACAGAACAGCTTCCCTTCTTTCATAGTTTTTCTATGACCTGAAAGGCAATGATCATTGCACACAGAAAGGGGCTGAACCTGAATGGAGAACAGATAAAAGGAGAATAACAATAGCATCGGGGTGGGATTCTACCAGTTCTGTCTGGTTCTATAGAACTGGTTGTTATGATTCTGCAGTTTGGAGAACTGGCAAATTGCACCTCTGGCTGGCCTCACCCTTCTCTGGCCACCCCTCCCCTCCATGCCCAGTCAGTCCTTATCACACATGTGCAGCATCGCCTGCAGCCTCCTTTTGCCCACCCCCCAGGCCAGCCATTGCTGCATGCCTTCTGCTTTGGTCTTGTCTTGTCTCCCTGGGTGAGTGAGGCACTGTAAGCTCCAGGGGCCGTCACCTATCTACCACTGCCAGTACCCTTTTCCCCCACCCCACTTGCCTTTTGCTGCTGCCACCCGCTGCCCTAACCCCCAGCCGGTAAGGCCCAGCAGATGTGGTAAATCCAGGCAGGGGGCAAGATGCAGACTTGTGGGGACCTGAGTAAATTTTGTGGTACTGGAGAACATGTGGAGAGGCTCATGTTCTCCTGCTACTGGGAATCAAGAAAGTCTTTCCCAGCACAGCAAAAAGTTTGCAATTTCCCCTACAATAGGGAATCAGGTGGCTCAGGTGGCAGAGTGAAACAGGATTCAACTGGACTGCTTCTCTGCCACACGGAGCTGAATGTTTTCCTATTGGAGGGGAACTTGCAAACTTTTTGCTCTGCTGGGAAAGACTCCCTTGCTCTCCCAGCAACAGGAGAACATGAGGAGGAGAAGGGTCGATCAAAGGGGCACTTCCACCACAACTGGCAATCACTCAGTCTGGGTTCCACAAAGAAGAAATGAAAGAAGTAGCAAAGACTGCCAAGGAAAGCTTGCTGATTTGGTCCACCCATGGCTTAAAGAGAGAGAGAGAGACACACACACACACACAGAGAGAGACACACACACACACAGAGAGAGAGAGAGAGAGAGAGAGTGACAGAGAGTGGTGGAGAGAGAAGGGAAGACAGGGAGAGGGGGAGAGAGAGAGAGAGAGAGAGAGAGAAAGAGAAAGATAAGAGGGGGGAGAGAGCCATAGAGACAGAGAAAGAGGGTGGGAAGAGAGAGAGAAAAAGAGGGAAAGAGAGAAAAAGAGGGAATGAGAGAAGAAGAGAGAAAAACAAGATGAGAGAGGAAGAGAGAGAGAGAGAGAGAAGAAAGAAAGAAAGAAAGAAAGAAAGAAAGAAAGAAAGAAAGAAAGAAAGAAAGAAAGAAGAGAAAGGAATCAAAAGGAAGAAAAGGGATAGACAAAGAAAGGGAGTGATGGAAGGAAGGGACAAAGAAAGAAAAAGAAAGAAAGAGTGGAAGGGAGGAGAAAGTGAATGAGATATATGAATGGATAGATAAATACAGGGAGGGAAGGAGGGAGGGAGGGAGGGAAGGAGGGAGAGAGTGAAAAAAAGGAGAGGAAGGAAGGATACAAATCCTGTCTTCAGAAGACTCTGAAACAGCACAACAAATTAAGGCTGGAAGGTTATCTTCTAGTCCAGCCCCCTGCTCCAGCAGAAGATCCTTACAGAATCATAGAATAGCAGGTTTAGAAGGGATTGTGTGTGTGTGTGTGTGTGTGTGTGTGTGTGTGTGCACATGGCTGTCAAAATTCCCAAAACAGATCAGGTAGCTCTGGGGAGGTCAGTCATAAATTAGAACAGTTGCTAAGCAACCCGCCATTAAGTGAGGACCACTTGTATTTGGTTTTCCAATCACATGACCATGTGGCAATGCTCATCCAAGCCATGCCCAGCCAGCAAGCCATACTCACCCAGTCACATGACCACCAAGCCACACCCAAAAATTAGTCCATACCCACAGAACTGGTTGTTAAGAAATTTGAATCCTACCACTGAATAGCACATAGATATATATATATACCACTTCACAGTCCTTTATAGCCCTCTCTAAACCAGGGGTCGCCAGCCTTTTGGACCTCAGGGACCACCAAACTCATAATTTCTAGATCCCAGGGACCACTAACAGGCTCTGTGGGCATGGTCTAATTTGTGGGTGTGGTTTGGTGGTCATGTGGCTGGCTGGGCATGGCTTGTATGTAAATATTATAAATATTTATATAAACATTGAATTTTTTATAAAAAAAGAGCAACTTTTATCCAAAATTAGGCAAAGCAGGCAGGCAGAATCACAGATTCATTCAGAAATCTAGCTATCTGCCATTGGCTATCTCAATCTATCACATAAAATTTGCTTGCAAGCAAACTCATAAAATTTGCTAGCATGCAAACTTACAAAATTAACTCACAACACACCATGTATATAAATATTGTTTTTTTTATTTTTTAAAAAAAGCAATTTTTACCCAAAATCAGGCAAAGCAGGCAGATTGATTTGCTCACAGAATCATTCAGTCAATCTATCTGCCATCAACTAGCTCTGTCTCTCAAATTTGCTTGCTGTGAGTCTGCACTGAATTTGCTTGCAAGCAAACCTTCAGTCCTAAGGGAAGCAGAGCCGAAGATCCAAAGACAAGCTAGAAAGCAAGAAATCCAACCATTTCCTGCTTCCTAGTTAATCTAAATTTCTCAGCATAGCAGAACAGATGATGGTTGGAAAAAGGAAAAATAGCAATTTTAGCAGGCAAGTTTGCCGGGTAAGGAGTGAGTGGGCGAGGACTGTTCCTGCGGGCCATGTGGGCTGCACAGCCTGGATTAATTGCTTTGAGGGGGTGCTCTGGGAGTGAGATTTCTCTGCGGCCCACCGAAATATTCTCAAGGCCCACCAGTGGCCCACTGGTTGGCGACCACTGCTCTAAACAGTTTACAGAGTCAGCATATTTCCCTCAACAATCTGGGTCCTCATTTTACTGACCTCGGAAGGATGGAAGGCTGAGTCGACCTTGAGCCAGAGAGAATCAAACTATGGCAGTCAGTCTGCAATACTGCATTCTAGCCACTATACCACCATGGCTCAGAATTTTAAATTAAATTAAGGAGGCTGTAGAAGAGATTAACTAATTGATTAATCAATTCTTGTGTGTCCTTCTTAGAGATCTTTCTCCAACAGGATGTGTGGATGATGTTGTGCAGTTCTCTATCTGGTTTATTTTGCCTAATGAGAATCTTTTTAGAAATGAGTATTTTATTTCTTTATAGCCAGTGTTTGGGAAGAGCATACACTATATATCTCCAAAGTCCAAAATTAGTGTGTTGACTTGGGTTTATCCAAGTACTGTTTATGACAATACTAGCTTTTTCTCATACTTGATGAACATGATCATAGTTCCCTTGTTCTTTGTTTTCTTTATTCTGTTCTTTCAAAGATTCATTTGACTAAATGGATTCATTTGACTACATTGAACCAGTCTGAATGGATTTCTGTATTGAAGCATCCATGAGTTGGATATATATAAGTACTATGTAGAGCATACAACAATGACAAAACCTGACAATGTATAGTTTTATGATAAAGTAGAATCAGGAGGCAGGAGACTTCTATTAGAATAAATTTACTGACTTCTTTAGCAACTTATTTTAAGGTATCAGTATGCATATATATTCATTTTCATTATGAATATAATAAAGCAACAGTATGTTATTATTGTAGAAATTTGCAGGAAAGTTGGTAATTATAGAAAACATTCAATTTGGAGCAAACAAAAAAAACTTGGTTTACATTTTGACATAGTTTACTTTGCAAACAGATTCATCTAGCTTACCTGGTTAAAACTGGTGGGCCAAACAATGGCCTTCTCCTGAATGGTGAATTTCATTTCTTCAGAAGTATGTACATCTAAGCTTCCAACTTTGACTCTAAGGAGAGACTGGTTTGGCAAAGTGATCCAGTTGATTAGATCAAATCCTGACACCAATTGCCCAGTTTCATCAAAGGAAACAGGCTCCCCAGCATTATTGTTAAACGAGACAGTCCTAAGAAAATGATGCAACTCAATGAGAAAAAGAGAGAAATGTTTTATAAAAATGATTAGACAAAGAGCTAAAAGGACTTTTGGAAAAAAGAGACCTTTAATCCACTTCTGATTAATTATTGCTTTCTGTCAAAGTTTTCCTTTAAGAATAGGAAGTCCACTGTCCTGGACATCGTCCAGAGCATTTGGGAGTATATTAATAAGATGGCACCCAAAGATGAGCTGCTGAGAGAATGCCTGAAAAAGCATGAGACTTGACAGGAAAATCAGTCAGAGCAAATGCCATGGCAATAGAAGACCCTCTAAGGGCTGTGCTCTCAACAGATATCTGAGGTGTCAAACATTGGGAAATCCTATTGGTATCTGGAAAGAGCTGGACCAAATCTGATCATAGCAGCACAACAACAGGCATCGGAATCATAGAAGCAGGGATCTACCATACTAAACAGGATCAAAGGTTACACAGACAGACCTTTGAGAAGGTCCAGCACATAGTAGTAGGAGTGTAAGATACAGGCAGGAAGGGCATGCATTGAATGGCAAAACAAAGGAGTTGGCATTGTGTACATCAGCATAGAACAAGGGCTAGTTCAGATGGAAGATCTCACAGAAGGTCATGGAGAATGAGAAAGCTTAAGATTTTATGGGATTTCCAAATCCAGAGAGATGGGTATAAAATAGATATCATGATAGTAGACAAGAACCAGAAGACAGTGGTGGCAATACATGTAGTGATGCAAGTGACATCAGTAAGAAGGATTATGAGAAGCTGGAGAAGTACAAGGGTGTGAAAAAAGAACAGAAAATATATGGAAACAAAAGGCCAACATCGTAATTTGAGTCTTAAGCTGGGAAAATGGCTCCCCCAAATCCCAGGAATTACATCACAGTTCTCTATCCAAAGAGTGCAGTGCCAGAAAAAGCTCAGATGCTGCACAAATTCCTAAGTCTCTGGTAAGGAGATGAGAGGAAACCTTATCACCAATAAGGGTGAGAATAGAATTTACATTATACAAGCATGGATATATTCAGACACACGTACATATGCTCAGAATGATACCTGCCACGATTCTTGATGGAGACAATTCAGTTGACTTTTATCTGGAACAACTTTGTGTTTCCTTTTGAATGAATATAAAGCATTCAAGGCATGTACCACAGCATACATGGTATTGTAGACAGTGTAACTGTGGCTATTCATATGCATGTCAAAAATAGATGAAGGTAGGGTCTCTATCTTCTCCTCCCCAGTGCATATACCATCAAAATTCTTCTCTCCAGTGGAGTTTGGGAACACACATTCAAAAGCATCTTCCCAAAAATCCTTGAGAAAGCCATCTTCTTGATTGTTGGCTAGATTTCTTTCCCTAACAAAATCCTGAAATCCTACCAAGTTACTTGAGTGAACCACAATAGATATAGCACCATGAATGAAGTGTAAAGGCCAGTTCCTTTGAATAGAAGTGGAAGTGAAATCCATCTGGGCTATCATAATCCAGATTTTCTCATTTTCTGATGGACCTTGATAAGAGAATAACAATCTCATACTCAGCATAAATTCACCTTGTACAACTACAGCAGATGCCATGCTTGCCATGACAGTGTCATATAGTTCATTTCCATCCTCTAACATTTCAGTGAACTGATTAGTGTATGTGTTCTTGGGGAAACTTTCAATGAAGTCAAAGCAGATTCCTCTCTGAGCAAACATTGAAATCACAGTTGCTATAAAACAATCTCCATCATCATAGTTCAGAGAAATCATCCCAATCCATGTCCACCCAAAATGTAGCAATAATTGGAGAATACCCCTGTACTGAAGCTTATTATTAGGGAACATCCAGTGGAAATCATCTCCATGATTAATTGTAGGTGAAGAACCATAGATAAGCTGAAGAAAGAAAAGCAATTGAAAGATGTTGCTGCAATAAACATGCACAATTTGGGTAGACATATAAGCAGTGGTGGGATTCAGACAGTTCACACAAGTTCAGGAGAACTGGTTGTTAACTTTCTGAATAGCTTAGTGAAATGGTTGTTGGAAGAAATCATTAGGGCAGAGAACCAGTTATTAAATTATTTGAATCCCACCACTGAATATAAGATATGTGTAGGTGTATGTATATGTAAAAGGGAGCACGCCTCACCTGTTGAATCTTGTAATTGCATAGGATATTTGCCATATCCAGAGAGATTTTTGTATAGGGTCCTCCAATGACAGCTACTTCATTGTTCTGGCCATCGCACTTGTAGTTGGGGATGAATTTGTTCTTTGTTGAAAGAAGCTCCAGTGCACCACGATAGGTCCAACTTCCAATGAAATTGCTGTTGTAAATATGGAAGCCCAAGGTGATGTTGGGTAGGAGGTGAGAGTTTTCACAGATTTCCTTCAAAGCAAATTCCAAAGCCAGAATATGCTGATAGTTTTGTGTCAAGTACCTGTAAGATGATGATATTAACTTGCTATTCGCTATCTTTGGCATTTTAAATCTGGAAAAAAACTATTAAAACACCTGTTCTTTAACCTGATATCAACCCTATTTTTACTTGTCATCTCAAAATGAAGACTGGGAAGTTATCCAGATCTTACATATCAGCTATGAAATATATCGTTCATGCCACTTACTTTCATTTGGAAAGTAAAGCCCTTTTTCTCAGAACCTTCAGAGAAAATAGACGGTGATTTTTGAATGCTTGGACAATAATAAATTAGTTCAGATATAACTTGCCCGAAGAATCTCTGTGAGGGTTGATTGATGACAAAAGAATATCAGAAAGTTAAGGTAAAATCAAAGCATAAGACTAGGAGCCTTGACAAATGAAAAGTAATTAAATCAAGTCAAATCAAGTCAAGTAGTTTTTAGGTGACAGTTTTTGCAAATAATTTGAACAGAAATTCTGGAGCCTAAATTTTGTTTTGCAAGGAATACAGTAACATTATGTTAATAAATGTGACCTAGGAAATGCATTGATTAATGTTCAACAACCAGGCAATCTACAGAGTCAGATTATTCACAACAAGGAAAGCTGAACAAATGTAACAAATCTGAACATCTTACAGAGGGTATCCAGCTGGTTCATGTGAGGGTGGGATTTCAAATGAGAGTGGTTCAGGAGTCATATATATTTGGAAGGTTATGACACCCAGGTTCAGCTGACCTGCCTTTAAATATCTGGAAATTGAAAGAGGTTTGCTGACCAGACATTGAGCAAGAGTAAAGCTGTACATTATCTGAGACTGCAACAGAACCAGCACTGGAATCGTAACCATCATTTCAAAAGGTTGCCTGCTCATCCTTTCCAGTCTCTAATTTAAATGTCCATGAGTAAACTGCCTCTGAGAGGACAGGGCATAAAATATTAGGAAAAGGTCTCATGAAAATTTTCCTTTCTGCCTTTCTGCTTTAACAGCTCTCCATGATATAGGGAAGATTCTTGGTGTCATTTAGTCTTGATAGTCTTGCCAAGTAGCAACTAGAATTCCACAAGGAACTCAGAGAAGAATCTGATAATTATAGTAGTGTAACAGGCTAGGATGTGGCAGGATAGGATATGGCAGATAATTTCCTACTTAGACCTGTATTTCATGTGTCCCCAGAATGATTACAGATCAACAGGAGGTTATGCAAAGTGAAGCTAAAGCCTAATACAGAAGAAAAAAGTTTTATGATTGATTTCAACTAATGGCTTGGAAGTAGATGGAAATGTCAAACTCAGGTCACACTCAAAAAAAATTTCAGCTCCAGTACCCTATATTTTTTCTTTGTAACTGCCACTGCTTTCCTCTTCTCTACTAGTACCAGCATAATTTCTCTCAGCTGCCTCTGGTCTCTTGGTCTCCCACATGGAAAAAGCAGACAGGACTCACAGTTTAGAGTAATCATCACTTTATTCCAGCAACCAAATCAATGCAACAGCAAGTAAAAATATATCCAAATAAATCCAGCGCTGAGAGCCATTGCCTCTCAGTACTTTAAATACCCTAGTTTCCCCCCGACTCATCTAAGCTGCATAACATCTGTTCTTTCATTATATTAATATCTACCTATCTGAAGTTTCCTTCACCCGCGTGCTTACTACCCTTCCTTATTATCCCACGATTGTGCCCAGTTCTGTAATTACCCACCACCATGGCCATTCTCTTCTGAATGTCAGCTACCGCTCATTTATCCTTCAGTCCCAGATTCAGTAGCTGCCACCCTTTCCCAGCCTGCTGCAATCCCCGTCACCTCCTGATGACATCATCCTAGTCTCTTCATAGTCAGCACAACCATCACATCAGCTGGCTGTCAGGACCCAGCTTCCATCCAGAGCCCTCTCCGTGAACCATCTTGAGGGGGTCATGGAGCAGTGTCAGGTCTGTATTGGTGGTTGGAGCAGCTGAGGCAGCAACAAGGTAAATATCAGTTCCTCCTCCCCTCCGACATTGTTGTCGAGCTCTGGCACATGTTGTGGCATGTCCGGAGCCCGACAATTTTGCTTGTATCTAATGCCACTGCTTTGAACATAAAATTTTATGACACTTCCTTTCAAAGCATTTTGTTAATTCGAGATCCAAATATTAGATGGTATTTTTTGCATCATTGAATGCAAGGAATGGTGCACGCAGTGAAAGATCTCTGCACTTTTTCCACAAGAAGGTTCAATCTTTTCTCCATTTTTTCTAAAGGAAGATTGGATTGTCCATATGTTAAAATGCTTTCTCTCCACAATCCTTTCCAGTAAGGATGTCTCTTTTCTACATAAGACAACACATAATCTTCATATAGGCCCAGATATCTATTTCTTATTTCCATGTTGTGGTAGTTGGCTCTTAATCTCCGGTCTTGAAAAACTTAATAAATAGAACCAAAGTTGGATAGGGGACTTTGAGGCAGTCTGCCTCAGCCCCCAAACACCTCACAGGTTAGTATTTCCTTTAACTAGATAGCAGAAATTAATAATAATAATAATAATAATAATAATAATAATAATAATAATAATAATAATAACAACAACAACAACAACAACAACAACAACAACAACAACAACAACAACAGGATTGTTGCAGGGAAAATAAGAAAAAGTATTAGTTATGCACCATCATACAAATACTAATGATTCTATCCCTTTGTTAATACAGGTGACAACTGTGTTGGGTTTTGTGGTAGGTGAACAATACTGCTGGCTTATATTTAAGCGATTTTTCACTAGAAGTCCAATATCCCATCAGTCACTATTTTTGAGCCAGGTACCCCCAGGTACCAAATTCAGTTTGGCATATCTTAAAGGAAGGCTGAATTTATTACAGTAGCAGAAAATATTTCTCTTCTAAACAAGATTTATCTGGAATCAAATGTACTCCCTGAGGAACTACAGAGGTCTATTATCTACAACCAACTATAGAATCCTACTGTTGACATGCAATATTCATATTTTCTTGATGAATACAGCAAATAGGAAATTATCTGTTCCATCAACTACTTCTCTGGATTCCCTTGAGAGTTGCAGGAGTTGCTGGGCAGACTACAGACACTAAAGGACATGGTTAATCTTCCTCCGGAGAGTAAAAGTATAGAGATAGCAAAAAAAAAAGTCTGTCAGATATATCAGAGATATGATGAGTAAAAGAATACAATACGGAGATTAAAATTAATGTTTGGAATTAATTTCTGTCTTTCATTCAAAAATCATCCTTGAGCAAGAATGCTCTCCTCTCAATATATATATATATAATTTAAATTGTATTTTATCAAGTTCCATTTTAAATAGTGTTTTATCAAATTTCATTTTGAATTGCTTTTATTAAATTTTAGTAACAAATTGTTGCTGGAACTTTGCACTTTTATAAGACCCAAGGGCTAATCAATAAAGCCTTATTATTATTATATATAACATGCTTTCATTTAAGCCTAGGGATTATCTCTAAATTGCAAAAAACTTTCTTAAGGCTGAGATATTTTTATAAACTTTATTTTCAAAGGCAAACATCTTGCTTATCACATTGAATTGTCAGCAATGATAAGTGAAAACTTGGAGATATTACTACCTCCTTATTAGCTGTTCTCTTTTATTTAGTTCAGGTCGTAATTTAGGTAAAAAAAAATGCATGCCAGTAACCCTGCACTGGAGCCAAAGATGGAGAAGATTTCCACAGCTACCATGTATTTGCCTTTGGTGTTCAGATAGGCTGGGAAAAAAGACAACCACACACTGCAGAAGATCAGCATGCTGAAGGTGCAAGTTCCTAGCTAGGTAGGCAACCATGAAACTGAGTAGGGCAAGAATGTTCATGAAGCCCAGGACACAGTAAAACATATAGGTAGACCCTTCATTACATTCCAGTATAATTTCTTTATGTAGGGAATACATGTCAAAATGTGGAAATGGGGCAGAGGTTGCCAGCCAAATTGCACAAAGAGATGCTTGAAGAAAGGAGCAGGAAAACACAATAGAAGTAGCCAATCTGTTCCCTACCCATTTCCTTATTCCAGATCCTGGCTTGGTGGCCATGAAAGCAAGAACTACAATGACAGTTTTGGCCAGCACACAAGAAATTGCTACAGAAAAAATGAAAGTAAAAGTAACTTGTCAAAGGTGACATGTCAGTACTGTAGGCTGACCAATGAAAAGGAAAGCAGAAAGGAAGGAGAAGAGGAGAGGGGTGAGGAGAACATAGGAGAGGCTCTAGTTGTTAGCTTTGACAATCAGTGTGTCATTGTGCTTAATGAAGATAGCAATCAGATATACTGTCATTAAAGCGAAGGAGAATGCAAACACCAAAGACATAATTCCCAAAGGTTCTTGGTAAGACAAGAAGGTTATCTCTTTGACAATGCATGCATTTTGATGGAAATTTGCATATTGATCTCCTGGACATGGAACACAGTCATCTGCATCTGAAAAAGAACATAATACATTGTTTATATTGTTACAATTAAAAGCAAAATTATACTTCTGAGAGTTTGTGTATTAGAATGGATAGGAAAAAAGATTACACATTCTCTTCCACACTCCCAGCTTTGATTCCTGGAAAATTGAATTAGAACTTCAGCTCCATAATATTCTCAAGTGTGAAAAATCTTAATTTTCAAGTGAAATAAAAGGTGAGGCAAAGCATCTTGAATAACAGAGGCAGAAATCAACTAACAAACACATTACATCTTAGTCAATCAATAAATTCTATTGAGGTATAACTTACCCTCTTGTTCTGAAATCTTTCCTTCTGCACATGGAAAACAATCTTAGCAACATAGCAACCTTCATAGTTTTTCTTTGACCTGAAAGAAAATGTTCACTGCATACTGAACTGGGCTGAACCTGAAAGGCAAACAGACAAAAGGAGAATGTTGAATTCAGGTATTGACAGTATGGAGGCTATACAAGAGATTAATTAATGCTTTTTAAAAAAAGTTATTTTTTTTATTTTTTTAACTTGAACATATCATCTTCCATGAAACAATGTGTTGTCTCGGTACAAATGTCTTTGTGTAATTACAATCAA